TTACATTCTATTGATTGGTTGAGGTTTTTAAGAAAGAGGAAGATATTTCTGTAGAAGGATTATAACCTGGGGAAAATAATTTTGGTGGGTTTTTTTTTTTTTTATCTGAATTAATTTGGCTTTTATATTATATAGCAACAGCTTTTAGGAACTTTTTGAAGAATTCTTTTCCAATAGTTATTCCCATTATCTGAAGAGTACATTCAATCTGTCACCTCTAAGGACTCAGTCTGGCAGGGCATTAAAGGACAACTCTTTCAGGGGCAGAGAGGCATCTAAAAGCCTTTCAAAGTATTTTCAAAAACTATACTATTAATTTTAATAGAGCTGAGGTGCCAGGGTGGTTTTGCAAGGTCTGAACAAGCCAATAGTTTTAGGAGCCTAGAGCAGAACGTAGGTGTCCATATCCAAAACTCTCATTGTGGATCATCCAGCTCAGCAGACAAGTTCCCCAGGTGCCACACTGCTGTTTCTGAGCCTGCCAGAGCCATTCCTCAGTGGGAAGGTGCCTGGGAACACCTGGGAATCCTTCAGGAGGCAGCACAGGCTTTCCTCACACCTACGGGCTGCAACAGAACCACTCAGCCCTGCTTCCTTTGCGAGGTGTCCTCATGGTGGTGTCAGTTCCCATCTTTCACAGGAAAGCCCACAAGTTAGGGTGTCTCCCCTAGAGGTGGGAAATCTGCATTTAACACTTGCCTCGTTCCAAAGATGTGCAAAGCCACGTCTCTCTTCTCTATAAAAAAGTCTGTTGCCACCAGGCTATGGGATGGATCATTCCTACCCCTCCTTTGCCCTTTTTTTTTTGGTTTTTTTTTTTTTTTCATTTGTTTGTTTGTTTTCCAGCAGCAGAAAGGGACTAAAGAATCACAGGGTCAAAAGGAGAAAAAACAAATAAGCTTGACTTTGTGAAAAAGGTGATTAAACCAGGAAACTAGAAGGGAACAACACACTGCTTCCAGGACTATTTTACCATCTCTAATGGTTCTACCAATGCAAAGCACAGCACAGGCCCAGAGAGTTCCTTTGCCCAGGTGATGATGCTCTGAGCCTGTTTGTGGTCCTGGGAATCTGTGAGCCTTTCTGAAAAGCTGCACAGCTTTGCTGGAGTGGATGGAGGTTGTTGCAGCAATTAACGTAAAGGCACTAACATCTTTTATGGATTTTAGCCTTGAGTAGCTGAATCATTAGGTACCTACATAATGTAAAAAATCATCCCAGAGTGCCCTAAGCTCCCACTGAAGTTACTGTGTTTACATGCAGCACAGCAGGCCCAAAATAATGTAGGTGCCTTTTTATGAAAAGGAAATGCATCCCTGACGTAAAGGTCAAATGGCATTTATAACAACATTAATAATTTCAGAGGGCCATGCTATTGAATTCTAGGAAAGATTAGACCTGTTTGGCAATACTGTTTAGTCCCTTTTACAACAGAAATACACTGTTTACCTCCTGAGAGGTTCATAAGGAAAAAAACCAAATCCAATCTATATCAATGAGTAAGATATTTTCCTTACCAGAGATATTGATTTAAATATTGACTTCACTGCTGGAGGGTTATTTCACTCCATGCTGCAGATACTCATTGTCAAGTGACATGTGTTTTATGTACTAATAAAAATGTGATTTCTGGCACAGAAATCTTATCTGGATGATTCTGATTTTTTGCATTCAGTTTGGTCTGAAGCAGTTGTCCTTTCTAATACTGAGTACTTATTTTCTTCTGTGTGTCCATGCACTTCACTCTCTGTGAATTACTTGCAACTAAGATCAAAACAAACAAACATTAAAAAACCCCTGTACACAGCCGCTTTGTCCTATTAGTTCATTTTCCTTTCAATCTTTCAGCAATGGGTTTAGGCTCTGCAAGACAGAAGTTCTTTATTTAGCAACAGTGAAGGTGCCACTGCAGAACCTGTTACAGCTTGTCAGAAAACCAGCCCGAGTGTGTTCTGGGACAAGGACTGTCTTTTTATTGCAGGGTTATACAAGAGCTCGCACGTTGGCTTGCTGACCCCGATCAGGCCTGGTGATAGTGACAATGACAACAATAGCTTGTGCCACTGAGCAGCAACCCCACGCTCAGGAGGGCTGTGACACCTCCCATCATGGACCAGACATGCCAGCTCCTCTCGTGCAAAGTACCAGCCCAGGAGGGAGAAAAAAGCCCCAAAGAGTGAAAATCCCAAAGCCCTGAACTGCCAATTGTAGACACGAGGATTTATTTCACTGGAGTGTTGCACCCATGAAGCAGAGGATGTTGCTGAACAGTTTCAATGATGCTAAAATTCTCGTTTCTGCCCAGCTGGTTCCCCTGCAGAGCCTGGATCCATGCACGTGTGTGGAATTGCACACTCCAAAGGAACCTGCCCTGGAGGGCAGCCAGCTGCAGCGCTGCCATGCAGCTTGGTGGCACGGACATCCCCTGGGACTGGGAGCACAAGGTGGGGGAGAACCTCTGGAATGCTTGTGGTGTCTCCCTCTTTCTCTTACGCGCCATCGGGATCAGGTGAAAATGTGAGGCAATGGCAGGACTCACACATTGGCTCTTTGGCACTGTTGGCAATCACCAGCTCCTTGCAAGTGGGATGACAAGGGAATAGGGTCGTTTTCAAAAGGGAATTGCATGCAAAAGGTTAATCCTGGTCTGAAGTTCCTGAGGTTAGCTGTGCCCATATCTTCCAGGCACTATCCAGTTCGCAGCACAGGACTGCTGGTGCCTGCAAACAGGAAGACAGGTTATACCTGGCTGAAGTCTCCCTGTAAATCTTTTCCTTGGTAATACCAAACTTCAGAGCATACCTGTGGGTCCAAGGCCTTTGCACAGCTCAGGACACAAAGGGGGCAGAGACAGACGGTCCTGGAGGTGGTTCACAGCCAAGAAGTGGGGAAGCTGGCAGAAAGGCAGATCTCAGCCCCTGTTAGGGAGCACTTTCCTGCATAGACTCCGCTAATGGGGGACTGTGGTGCTGTGAGCAGAAGTTGTTTATTTTGGAAGAAACAGGGAGACAAACAGGGCTTTGGACCACTTGCAGATTTTTTTTAATTTTTTTTTTTTTTTTTTTTTTTTTTTTACTGGAGTGAATTTACAACAAACATGAGAACTAGAACTATAGCACAAATCCACCCCGCAATTTACTAGAGGTTACTTAGCTTAGAAATACTGCTTTCTGTCTACTTGTACACAAGGAATTTTTTTTTTCTTTGAGAACAACGTTTTAAATTAAATTTTGGGGAAACTAACGTGACAAGCAAAGTCTTTATTAACCCCAACAGTGTAATTTCTCATTACAAGACTGTGATTCAGAGGAAACGGTGTTGCTAAAACAGCTTCTGAGTCCCAGCAAAAATGACAGTTTTCCTCAATCAGTTCCTTTTGTGACCTTGATCTGAACCTTAATCTGTTTTAGCAAAATTCTTTTTATTAGCCATTCATTCTTAATCATACCGCTAATTTTCCTGTTTTTAAACTACCAATTTATGGCTGCTTTTTCATGGAACTAATCAAGGCTGATGTATGTTATTTTGGCTATGAATTCTAATAATTATTCTTAAGAGTTTTTTAAGTCTGCATTTTCCATAGATAACTGTCAAAATTATAGATATGGAAAGAATGGCTTGTTTCTGTGATATGGCACATCCAAGTCTGCTTTCTTATCTTTAGTGAAAATAACAATTACGAGCATTGGATAGGGAATCTGAGCCTCACCTTTTTTTCTTTCCTTACATCAGCAGTTGCTTTTCATTAGTATTATTATTACAGACAAGCATCGTTGGGAGGAAGAAGGGTTTTCAGGATCAGGCTCCATTTAAGATATTTAGAATAAAAGAATAAACATATACTTGCAGCTGTCTCACAGAGATTGTAAACTGCTGTAGCTAGTGACTAGCGATCTTTCTTTGCCTGTGATATTAAGGAACAGATTGTGTTACTATACTTATCTCTACCTTTACAAACAAATACATCAGGAAAATATGTCGAGCAGAAGAAACCATGCTTGTTATCAAATGCCTAGCTACACTGACTACAGGTTTTTTGTACTTTTTGGCAAAAGCTTCAAAACATACTGTGGCTTGGTTAAACTGCGAATTCTTCGCAGCATAAAGGGAGCCTTTCTGTGTCCATCGTGCGCGCTCGGCGCTCCAGCGAAGGCAGCAGCTCGCTGCTGTTATTTGTCATCCCTACGGCCGCCGCGCAGACATCGCAACCCCTCATCCTCGGCTTTGTACCCACCAGAGACGCTCCTTCCCCCCACCGAACTGATGAACATGACGGCGGGGCTATGATCTTAAAAGCCTGGCACTTCTGATTAGGCTTTTGTTGAAGTTTGCGGAGTTGACTGAGTACCAGGGGTTTTGTGCGTGTGCAGCCGGGTGGTTGCAGGGGGTAGCGCTCAGCCCCCCCAGACAGAGGTGCCGCTGGAGCAGCACTTGGGGAGAAACCTTACAAGTGTTTTCCAGCCTAAACCTCTCTCTCTGTGCTCAATGGGACTTTGTCAAGTGACGCACTAACATTTCGTTAGGGAGCGAAGTAGATTTCTTAATTGCAAGTGAACTAAGCTTGACAGATAGGATTTTCTACTCTAAAGAGGGAGGAAAGCCAGAAATTTGGGTGTTTTGTGTGTTTGCTTTTTTTTTTTTTTTTTTTTTTTTTTTTTTTTTAATGAAAGATGCTCAGATGTCTTGGTAATAAGTTCCCATGCCAGATGGAAAGCAATGGCTGGAAGAGTAGAGGAACAAAGACTCTTCTCAATCTTTTTCCCTAATTAAATTCCTTTTTTCTGTAAAAGTGCAATGTTTTCCCCACCAGTCTGAAAGGATTGCCATGTCTGATTGTTTGAAAAGCTATAGGTTAATTGTGTTATATGTATCTGTAGAAAAATTAATGCTATATGCAAAAATGGATGAAAGTGCTCAAATAGCCCATTAATTAACTCAGCCCTATTGTTAGCAGGGTTGGCATTGGAGGAAAGAATAATGCCTTTTCAATCCGAAACCTTCCCTCCCTCCCCATCCATTTTATCTCTTCTTGTCACTTCCTATTAGCTGATCATGACATCTTATCTTTTTCCTGAAGGGTGGGCCAGAAGATTACTTTGGAGCTCATGTAAGTGACACTCCAAGGATTGGCCGGCAGCAGGTTCAGCGGCCCCAGCCCCGGAGCCGCGGGATGTCATCCCTGTGACATGCCTGGAAACCCCAGCTCATCCCTCAACTGTCCGCTCCCAGCAGCATCTCCGTCATGTTGCACTTCCAGTCTGTCACTGCCATGGGTTCACACTCCTCTCCCTGGAACCCTGCTCGCTTTTGCTGAGGACTGTGTTTTTATTTTTAACACGGGGTCCTTCACATCAGTGGCACTGAGGGTTTCTTTTGCACGATGGGATTCTGCTGTAGGAGGGAATGGCTGGGGATCCTACACCAAATGTGCCTGCATGTGCTAAGAGGGAGCTGTGCATTAAAGCACATTCTTTTTTCCATCCCTCTGTGGGAAGGAGATTTTAGGAGATCTCTGCCTGCCTGGAGGTGTGGGGCTGTCCCAGCAGCTTTGCCACCTGGTCCCCAGAGCCCAGGATGCTCCTGGTGGGGGAAAGCAGCCAGAGTGCTCCCACCAGCTGTAGCCAGACATTATGGCTCGTGCTGGAGGGACTCGCTGCCGGCACCGTAATTGCAGGCTAGCTGGTTTTTTGCTGTGGTATTACAAATTCCCCCAGGGAAACCCACAGCTATGACCATTTTCATGGTAACATTGTCAGGCATGAGTCATTTTCTTCCCTCTCTGTCTCTGTTTGTCCTCTCTCACACACACACTCAAAAATGCAAGGGCAAATCAACAAACTAGTAAATAAAATTTAAATGTTGCTTTAGTGCATTCTCAGCCCTCTTCTTCTGGCTGGGTATATAGTTTGATCAGTTTGAGGTACTTGGGTTTTTTTTTTTTTTTTTTCCTATGAGAATGAGGCATAAAACGTATAGGCCATGTGGATGTTGATACTGGAATGAGGCCTTTTTTTATTTTATGCTTTACCTTATTTTTTTTGCTGTGTTACTTCTAAGAATGTTTTTTATTAAAAAATTAATCAGTAAAACTAATCCTTAGACAACAAATAATTGTCAATATAAAAAACAGGAAAGTGGCAAAGGATCACTGTTTAAGAATTTTTTAACCTGACACTTCTTCATTAATACTCCAGGCCTGCTAAGCTTATTGTCACCCTTTCCCTAAATGTCTGAATACATGCTCTGTGTGTCATCCCATTGTATAGCACTGGCTGCACTATCACAACTCACATGAGTAAGTACTTGCAGGTCGGTCTCCTTGGCTGTGAACCAACTTTCTGGTGTATTCTGAAATGTTCGCTTTGGTGCCTTTAAAAAACCAAACCAAAAAAAAAGAATTCACTGAAAGAAAGTTGGGAAAAAACTGTGAAGTTGGAAAGTTGGAGGTGCCTAAATTAAGATAGCTTTTGCAAGACATGTGGCAGACTTATTTGGACATCCTGTTCATCCTGAGCAACACTGCATGAGAAACTGCTGCTGAACCACACAGTCTTAAGCAGGAATGAATTTGATTTCTCCCCTCTCCTATTTTTGTCACTCTCTATTCTTCAGCAAAATACTGAAGAAAATAGGGCTTGTGGAACCAGTGCTGTGTGTGCCTAACAGGTAGGTGGGAAGGGCTGTACCCTAAAATATCAGAAGGCTCTGCTCAGGTGATCCTGGGGAGTGTCAGAACGAAGGATACAGGTAGAGTGAAAAGCAGGTGAATTTGTAAATTGCAGGGGGTGTCTGGGTGCAAATTTGGGATGCAGTGACCAGATCTGTATGACCAAACCTGTGCTGAAGACACTGCCAAGGACATGTGACCATGAGTTTTCCCGGGGAGGCCTCAGATTTTGTATTTTGTTAGATTTACGTTTGTGGAGTGAGCAGAAGTTGAATAATTTATGGCGGTGTCCACTTAGATGCCATATGTCATGTTTTTTTTTAAACCAGTATGGGTTTTTTAATACACAAAAGGGAACAGACACTGGAGCTGAACTTTCTTCATTGTATTCAAGAAGAGAATGCTTAAAATGCTTGCAGAAAAGGGAGCCCTTTTTGTACACTTTGAATCTGCACTAGACTTGACTAGTCAGCATCACTCTGTTTTTACAATGAAAAATAAAAACAGTGTTTGCACAGTGTCACACACAAGAAAGAAAACTTTTACACAGGTCTCAGTAAAAGACCATACTTTAGTGTGATTCTAAAGTTTAGTGAAAGCATTTTTCTGGCCATTGTTTAAAAATGCATATTTAAGTGAACAGCTACTCAATTCCCCCCCGGTATAGAAATGGTAGCCTTGATGTCACAGGCAAATGTTTGTAGGTGGTTAGCACTGATATTTCTGGGACATTACACTAGAAATATTCTATTGTGTATTTTATTTTGATGTGAAAAACATGAAATCCTTGCAAGCTCAGAATTCACATGTCCTTTTAAGTCTTAAAATATGTT